TGATGCTAACCAACCAATTCTGACTGATCTTCCTACGAATCGCCGAGAGAAGGGTAGCATGAGGATGAACAGGGTCATTTCTATTGTTGATGAGCTGAATCGCAAGCTGGGAGTCAGACTCAAGGCGTACCGCCCGACATCCCTGCTTCCAAGCCATATCCAAGCCATGAAACACGGCCCAAAGCTCAGCCAAAACTGCAGTCGCCGTCCCGATGTTCGCAGTGAAGCCAACAATCCATTTACATGTCCAGTCGCGGAGAACCCCTCCAGCTCCAGCAGCTCCGGGGTTGCCGTTAGAGGCCCCGTCCACATTAAGGGTCATCCAACCAAGCATCGGGGGGGGGGGGGGTCCACCCAACCATCGTCATCGTTCGCTCAGTCACAGTCCCTCTACCATTGGGAAGGGGAGAAGGAGCTTGCCAAGCCTCATACCAAAGTTTGCTCTTAGCCATAATCGAAAACTCAAGAGACGGAGAGGAGAGAGCAGAGCTCGGACCTTTGAAACATGTCGTGCATCTATTCTTCCAGATAAGCCATGCTGCGATGCTGAAGAAAGCAGACCAGGTCATGCCCGAGCCCATGAGCTCGCTACTCTTGAGGTTCTCGCGCAACCAGTTGTTTTCATCCAAGTTGAAGAAGTTGGACTGCCTACTCACCGGTATGTGACGAAGCCAGAAGTACATAGCCGCTCGGCAATCCCGCAAAATGTGAATAATGGACTCGACCGGGTCCCCACAACTAGCACAATTCCGGTTGGTAATCACTTTCCTGGAGAAGAGAAGGGATTTTGTCGCCAATTTTCCCAAAACTGAAAGCCACATGAAGCTTCTGATCCTTTCTGGGACCGGAAGGCGCCAAATAATCTTCCAAATATCCTCATCTGCGTCAGGGGGTCGCTTGTTTTGGAGAGAATACGCAGATTTCGCCGAAAACCTCCCATCCGACGAGGCTGACCAGAAAATGGTGTCATCTTCAGTGGCCATCTTGTCGACACCAATGCTGAGAATCTTCTGGAAGACGTCGCTAGGAAGCAGGTCCTCAAAGAGCTCCGTCCGCCAGGCTCCATCATCCTTCACAAACTTCTCGATCGGCTCAGCTACAAGGGATTCTGGGATGTGATCGATAGCCACCTCCTTGAGCGGATCCTGCAAAACCCACGAATCCAGCCAGAATTTAGTGCGTTTACCGTTCTTGATATTCCAAGCACAACCTTGCCTGAGGAGACTAGAAGCTTTAGCAATACTACGCCAGGTAAAGGAACTTCCCTGAATTGGGCGGATGAGATCAAGATTCTCCCGCTGTCGACCATATTTAGCTGTCATCAACTGAGTCCACAGGCTGTCTTTCTCCTTCATCAACCTCCACCCGCTCTTCGCAAGCATCGCAAGATTTGCTTGCTTGAGAGATCTTAAGCCAGCTCCACCTTGCAATTTGGGCTGAGTCAGCTTATCCCAGGCCACCAGGTGCATCTTCGACTTATCATCCTTGTCTCCCCAGATGAAGTCCCTGTTCATCCTGTCAATACACTTACAAACCGAACTAGGGATTAATTCAGTGTTCATGCAGTAAGTGGGAAGAGAGGACGAAACAGATTTAACCACAGTAAGTCTAGCCGCAAAAGAAAGTCTTCTCGCTTTCCAAGGTGCTAGTTTCTTCTGGATGCGAAGCAGAAGGCTCTGGTAGCGGCTTTGAGTTATCCTTCCATGGATGGTATGAAGCCCCAAGTATCTTCCAAGCTCCGTTTTCAGAGGAATACCAGCTCGTCTACTAAGAAGATTTGCTCTCTGCCGATCCACGTTAGGCGACACGTATAACAAAGACTTGCTGTAATTCACTCTTTGACCAGAGCTGGAGCAGAAGTCGTCTAAGCACTGACGAATGACCCGGATCTGCCTCATCTCTGCTTCGGCAAACAAAAGGAGATCGTCTGCAAAAAAGAGGTGAGTAAGAGGTGGTCCTCCTCTCGTTAGGTGAATGGGTTTCCAGCTTCTGTTATTAACTGCCTCATCAATCTTATGAGATAAACGTTCCATGCACAAAACAAAGAGGTAGGGTGAAAGAGGATCTCCCTGACGAACTCCTCGAGTCGGGGTCAAAGTTTGGGACAGTTCCCCATTCCAGAGAATCCTCATCCGGTTCTGCTCCACACAGTACATGATGCAATTAATCCAAGTGCTGGGCAGCCCTACTTCCTTGAGAGTGTCACGAAGAAAGTCCCATCTCAGCATATCATACGCTTTCTCCAAATCGATCTTCAAGATCAGCCCTCCCTTCTTCCCTTTCTTCCTCTCGAGGGTGTGGAGAGCTTCTTGCACCACGATGATGTTGTCCGTCGTCTGCCTTCCTGGGATGAAGCTGCTCTGCCTCGGGGAGACGAGTTTCCTCATTATCGGCTTCAATCTGTTGGTCATTGCCTTGGTGATGGCCTTTAGGTTGACGTTGTTGAGAGAGATAGGCCGCAGTTGAGAGACCAACTCCGGATTGTCCACCTTCGGAATTAACACCACCGTCGATTCTGAAACCGCTTCAGGAAGGGTACCTGTAGAGAAGAAGTTGATAGCCAAATCGGTTAAAGCCTTACCCACCACTCGCCACATCTGTTGATAGAACACCGCTTGAAACCCATCAGGACCGGGAGCCTGATACGGCTTCATATCAAAGATGGCTTTGTGGATGTCCATGACTGTGAACGGGCGCAGAAGAAGCATCCAATCCGCCTGTTCAAGTCTGGGGAAAGCGTTCCTAGGCAGTCTGTCCTCATAAGACCAATCATTCTGCAAGTAAAGCCGAGCCAAAAAATGGAAAACAAGGTTAGATAAGGCCTGCGGGTCCTCCACCCAGTCTCCATTAGTATCACGAAGAGCCAGAATCTTGTTACGCCTTCTCCGAACATTGACTTGATGATGGAAATAGGCCGTGTTTCTCTCCCCGAACTTCACCCACTGCTCTCTGGACCTCTGAAACCAAAGAAGCTCTTCCTGCTCGAGCACCTTGTCAAGCTCCGTTTCTAACTTGGAGTGGAGCTTCGCTAGAGCTGGGGAGAAAGTGTGGGAAAGCCTGGATTCAACCCCTTTCAGTCTTCCCAACAACCTTCTCTTCTTCTGCTGAATATTACCAAAAACATTTATGTTCCACTCCTTAAGCTTCTCCGCCAACGAGGTAAGGGCTTGGTGAAGCTGAGCGTCTTCCTCCCAGGTACCTGCAACAAAATCCTGGAAGTTATTATGAGTAAGCCAGGCCGCCTCAAATTTAAAGGGGCGAGAGTCGGTCGAGGAGGGCTCCTGGGTAGCCACTGTGGTCAGAATAGGGTTGTGGTCAGAATGAAGGCGGGGGAGGTGAAGCACCGTAGTGGTAGGGAAGCACTCGTTCCATTGCAGATTACACAGACTTCTATCTAGTCTGCTGGCTTTGTGAGTCTGAAATGAGTCTCCCCTAGTCCACGTGTACCTCGAGCCTGAAAAGCCCAGATCGATCAGCTCGGCCATATTAATCCTGTCATTGAACTTCCGGCATTTCCTAATCGTGGCGGCTGAGGAAGAGCCAGATTTTTCCGCGAGGGAACGGATAGCATTAAAATCCCCCGTTAGAATCCAGGGCTCCTCAATCCTCTTGCTCTGATCAATAAGGCTGTCCCAGAGAGGTTTTGGGAGATGTTGCCGAGGTGAGGCATAGACGGCGGTCAGAACCCACGAACGACCCCTTCCTTGCTGAACGCGGACAGAAATGTGTTGATTGCAGGCCGACAAAAGCTCTGTGGAGAAACGCCCGCCATCCCAGCAAATCCAAATACCGCCCTTCCGGCCTTCAGCATCCACTCTAATGGAATTCGGAAATCCGAGCTTATCACAGACCGAATCAGCTGACTTCCCGCTGATTTGCGGCTCCAACAGGATCACGAAATCCGGTCGATGTTGACGAATACTGAATTTCAGTGCTCGAACAAAGGCTTTACTACCTGCACCACCAACATTCCACGAAAATATCTTAACTAAAGGTTTAAAAGAAATAGCAAAAATTAAAGCAGAAGAACGGAAGAAGAAATGGCCCAGATCAAGGAAAACACAAAAGGGCAACAGTCGCAATCCCAAGTAGGCGATCGCTTCAATTAGACCGCTGCAGAAGGCGGATCACCCAGCGAAACCCTGTGTCCCGAAGCCGAGGCTGGAGCATCATTCCCTCCTTCAGCTGTCGTGTGTCTCGCGACCGAGTGAGCTGCTTCTGTCCACGCATTAATCTCCTGGAGAGTGAGCGATGCCATCCTCGTCTTCGCTTTGGTTCTCTTGTCTTTCATCGGGGACCATATCTGGAGAGGGCGGATGGGATTGAGCTTCGCCGGCGATCCTTTCTTTGTTCGATCCTTGGAGTTCTTCTTCCCCTTCGTTCTGCTTGCCGCTGACGGGGAGGAGAAGTCTTTCCTGCGTTGAGACCCTTCACTCTGGGGAGGAACCTGGACCACTTGCATCTCTGTTCCGTTCGGGCCCATAGTAACTGTCGTTGAGGGGGGACTGAAAGAAGAAGCAGGTGGGCTAGCTGTAACACTTAGCCCATTAAAATTCCCACCAGCCGGTCCACTCGTTGGCGAGGAAGATGAGGCCGCTTGAAAGATGGACGTTGGAGGAGCTGAGGCATCGACGGTGGGCTTTGGTCCTTTTTTAAACGTCACCTCCTGAGATGGGCCAGGGCCCAGTAAACTTTTTCCAACGGGAGGGCCCTCCTCCCTCACAAGCTCTTTCTCCTTCTTCCTTCCCCATTAGGTTTGCCTCCCTTTTCTTTCCTTTCCTGGATCGAGGTTCTTTGTTGTCGCGGCGGACTCTGAAGCGCCACCACCGGTAAGGAATTCTCCGGATATTTGTTTTTCAATGTGCTCTTTCCATTCTTGGCCAAGACCCCATGGTGGTGATCCCCCGATTCCCGTTCCTTTCCTTTAGTGGTGTTCCCCAAATCTCTCTCCTTTCCTTTGCTGAGTGATTCCCTTGGGTTCCGCCGCTCTTTCCGCGAGACTAGCATCCACGGGCCGAATCCCGCGTTCGTTTCCTGCGAAAGTCCGGCGAGAGAGCTTGTGAGCCGTCGGCGACGATATCCGCCGCCACTGTGACAGAGACCGACCGGAGCAGGGGACAAGTCGTAGCAGAGTGGCCAATTTTCCCGCACTCAAAGCAAACGACAGGAAGATTCTCGTACTCAACGGGCTGCCAGTCATCATCCAGCCAAATCCTAGGAACGAGAGGCTTGGAAACATCGACCTCCACTGCAAGCCGAGCGAATTTTGCCCTTTGTTGGGTGAGGGTATGGTAATCAAGCTTAATCGTGCGTCCAATCAAGTTACCCAAGGTAGTCAGAACCTCCTTGTGGTAGAAGTGGATTTTCAGCTCGGGAAGATGAACCCAAACTATCATCGTCTTTGGGAGAGGATCCGAGACCTTGAATCTTGGCGTCCATTGCTGAACGACCATGTAATGATCAAAAATCATCCATGGTCCATCTGTGAGGGCTTTGAAATAATCCTGATCATTGTTAAGCTTCACCAAATAGCAGGCTTCATCAAGGTCCCTGACCTCCATAGCTCCGGTCGGCCGCCATAGCGCCTTGAGACGAGAGCAAAGGGTATGAAAGCCGATCTTAATGCCAAGGATCCGTACCACCAACGTTCGATGCCACGGAGCGCACAGTTTGTTCTTAAACTCTGAGGAGATTCTCAGAGCTGGTTCACCATTATGCTCACCGGGGATCAGGTCGTGTTCCCCAACTGGGGTCCATTGAACCGTCAAAGTATGCGAAGTAGGGGCAATCGGACCTCCCGTGAGGACGTTCGCATAAGAGAACGGCAGTTTCGGTGTCGTCGACCCCTGAGGCGAGGAAGAGATCACGAGAGTTTCCTGGATGTCTGGGCTGATGTTCGATTCCGTCACTCCTGCCTTAGATCCAAGGTGTTCGTCGACGACGGTTGAGTCCACCATCATAGCTGTCGCCGAGGGCTGCTCTGCCGGTTTCATGGTCGGAGCACTGTCAGTCGTCGTGTCAAGAGTCTGTCCCGTATCCGGCGGTCGGCCAGTTTCAGAAACCACCGGCGCCGGAGCGGGCTGGGCAATCAGAGCAGTCGAGAGCATTTGTAGATTATTCTCCAAATACTCACAAATAACTATAAAGTTGTGCTTCGCATACTTTTCTAGTTAGATTTAATTATGAAAAGCTGGAAAGTGGAGTATTAAATATTGAATATTGATACTTAATTAGGCCGGCTCTAATGGAAAGGACAAAAATATAGCCAACGAAAACACCAAGCTATATGTTTATACCGCGCTTAGCACGAGCAGAGAACCTGATTGGTCGTCTAATTAATCATCCATCTACTTCTACAAATTTATAAACTCATTATAAAACAAAGCCGGTAAAGCAACCTTAAAAATATTCCGGCAACGACCGGCCGGCCAAGCTCGTAATTAACTATAAGCAGATTCCATCAACCTGTCATTTAATTTTTGTCGTTGAGCTCTGACGAGGTTTTGCAGGGAACGGAGCAGGTCAGTAATTTTATGGTGAGTAACCATGAGTAACCCGTCCATATCAGCATCACTTTCTCCTGGAAAACCTTTAATTTTCCCCTCCTTAATATTTGACGGACGATTTATCACTTGTTTTAAGTTGAATTTTTTTTTCACAGTTAGATCAAATTAATTGTGCTCTTCAAAATTATATCCACTTTGATATATTTTTCGAACCAAAAAAATTGAGCCATTTTTTACCAGTCTATACCATATGGTATTAAGTATTGACTGGTATTGAAATAAGAGCAAACCTATGGTTTGAAAAGCGAACCATGGTGGTATGAACAAATCAAGACTGTAAGATGGTTGAATACATGATAGTAGAAATATATTAACTGTCATTTACGACTTTTAACATTGTGTACCACAAGATACCACCACGTACCAGGGTGGTATTGTATGGTATTGTGTGGTATTTTTTTGGTCCTGTAATTTGTTCAACCAGAAATTTGTAGATCCAATAGATAATGATGAACTCGTCCCTTCTGTGCAAACGTTTTCAAAAACGAATTAAAAACGAAGAAAATACCATATGGTATACAGTTGGTACCGAGAGGCCAGATTTTTTTTTTCTCAGAAAATATTAAAAATTGATCTCATGTTGTAGAGCATGATGAACTCGTTCCATCTGTGCAAAAAGAAAAATCCGAGTTAAAACGAAACAGATATGAGTCGATTAAGAAAGCTAGGAAAAATAAAAATGGTCTTTAATTCTCCATCTTTAAATCTGGATTTTCTAAATAAATGATCCAGATTTAGTTATTAATGGAGTTATGCACCCTATCTTGAGCCCTTTACAAGTCGCAAGTAATCGAGAATATGCCGCGAATCACGAGGAAGAGTTTCCTAATTAATCAGTAATCACTCTTTCATGATTCACATATTAAGTGAACACATACTCAATATGATGTGAATCATGAAAGGATCTTGGCTGATTTATAGGGGTGGGCAACGGGACGGGACGGGATACCCGTCCCGTTTTAAACGGGTACCCAGTCCCATTTGGAGACCAAAGTCCATCCCATATCCCAAACTCATATGGGAAACGGGTACCCATTACCCGTGCGGGACGGATAACGGGTACCCATACTACCCATAAAATACCCAAAGTTTAAATGAAGGAGCAAGGAGGCGCCGGCGACAGGTTGAGAGTCTCTTCTCTCTCGACTCTCACGGTCTCACTCCCGAGAAGCTCCAGCCTCCAGAGAAGAGAAGCTGATGCGCCTGCGCGTCCAGAAGGCAGAAGCTGCTAGTGCTAGGGCTGCGGCCTGCGTGCGTCGACTCTCAGTCTCAAGTCTCACCGTCTGTCCGTCTCACGGTCTCAGTGCAGTGGGTATTGGGTAAGGGCCGAAAATTATTCTTGAATTGGGCTGGGCCTGGGGCCCTGGGCTGAATATTATTTAAATCTGTCTTTGTCTTTGAATGGGTACAACGGGTACCCATATTACCCAAACGGGTATTAACGGGTAACCCGCGGGTACCCATATTGGGACTGTACAATTCCAAGTCCCATCCATTTAAAATATTACGGGTAATACGGGTACCCATAACCCTTAAAAACGGGACGGGTACGGGTATACCCAAATACCCGTTTCCCGTTGCCCACCCCTACTGATTTATCCTCTGCCTCCTTTCTCAACAGTACTGCTCTGTTTTCCCCGCCTGTAAGTGCTACGATGGGTAGTAGCAGAGTGAGAGCAGGAAGAAGAAGTAGCTGGTGTGGAAGAAAACAGCAGAAGGATGAGGATCGACGGCCATGGGGAGATTTATGTCCCGATCTCTTGGATCCGATATACGACAAGCTCCCTGCAGGCCCAGCTGGCCGCATGGAATTCGGATCCGTATGCAAGAACTGGCGTCAAGTATATCGTCGCCGTCCCCGGAAATCCCCTGCAGTTTGGGTTCCTCTGGCGCCTGCAATGTCGGCTCAATTTCTGGGTTCAGAAATCCCCAGCAAGACCCTCAAGGAATTGAGCCGGGCGTATGTTAAATACACTTGGCCGGGGAGCGGGTGGTTGCTTCTGTCATCTAGTGATGTCGGAATCGTGGGGCTTTTCAATCCTCTGTTTCGCTGGCCGTCCTGCTTCGTTCCGCTTCCTGCTCTCAGTTGTCCTGTTTCACAACCACCGTTAAAAGCCACCTTATCGGCCCCGCCGACGGATCCCGACTGGACCCTTTTCCTCGTGCGGGGCCACAGCAGTTTCAGCACTTTCCGGCGCGGCGAGCTGCGGTGGAAGACGTATACTTGCGGCGGTGGAACAGGGGAGCGCCGAGTTTGCGAGGGGATTGGGTACAGGGCGGGGAGTTTCTTTTGTTTGTTCGATACGGGGGATGTTTTGGTATTTGGAGTTGAAGGCGAGCGGCGTGGCAAGATGAGGTCGATGCTGGTGGCTGTAGCTGCTCCGCCGGTGATGCTGGCGCGGCAGAGTTATCTGCGTGTGGTGGCGGCGGCGGAATCCGATGGGAAATTTCTGGTGATGAGTTGGGGGAGAGGTGGAAGTGCTGCTGCCAACTGCAGCCTCCGGCTGCTGGGTGTGGAGAGGAAGACGGCGAAGGAATTGAAGGAAAGAGGCCGGTGGGGATCGGACGTTTTAGTGAGGGAGCAACATGGCTTGACTGTTGAAGGGACGACGGACTTTCCTCCCACTGTTGTCCATTTTGTTGTTCTAGTATCTCTTGTAGTTTTGATTCTTGCTTGCTTTTTCTTTCCGGTATTTTAGCCGGATGTCAATTTGAATCTGTCTCGTTCAGTATTACTCGATCTTATCTATGGTAAGGTATGTATTACTCGATTCGGAGTAGGATGAGACGAAATATAGACACTAGTTCTGACATGTATTGTCCCATTCTGTCCCACATCGTACTTTACTCATCGAGATTCCCGCCCCGCCTGTTTGTCATCACTACTTTTGGCATAGTTTAATTTTTTCAATGGTTCTTTGCCGTCACAAAACAAAGTGGTGTAGTTCTTTAATTTGAAGACGCATTAGAGATGACCCAAATCCGTCGCAGACTAGGTTTTACGATGGTTCGTCACAAAGAAAGTTTTGTTAGTAAACGGTATATGATCCACGATTGAACCTCTTCCAACAACTCGAGTTATTGGGATCAACTGGTTCTTGACAAGTTTTTGTGATGTTCGTGTTTGGAACGACGCACGATGACCTCATGGCGCGCAAAAGCCCATTTACAATGACATTTGACCTTTACCGAAGAAACCTCTTGTCACCAGCGACCGTCTTTTTTAGCGCTTTTATCTGCGTGGAGGGAGAGGCAACGTTGATGGTGGGCAATGGGGTAGGTGCAGTGGGATGACCATATATGTCAGCCGCAGAAAGGGTTAAATCGCTTCGTTTTCTATTTTGTATTTAAGATCTTGTATGTCTAGTTAAGTATGTATCTATAAAAAAAATATAGAATAGAACTAGAATCTTTGTATTCGGCTCAATCCTTTTAGTAAAAGATTGGGCCAGGTAAGGAGTGGATTGGAGATGGTTCTTTAAAAGGGTAATGATTTTTATTTTTCTAGAATTGAACATCTATTGAAACAAAAATGTTATTATGAGTATCAAGGTCATAGATCATGTAACAAAACCTGCAACAAAACCAATCAAAAACCAATCAAAACTCCCTTCCTCACTTTAGCATAAAATTGTAGCATAAAATTGTAACCCCTAATCCCTTACGACAAAGCCAATGAAAACTCAATTCCTAACTCGAAAATCAAATTTAGATATATGGTTGCTTAAAGGTGCTGACAAAAATAAACAACCAAACATCCTTTTCTTATGGATTATGTTAGCATGGTACTAACACTAAATGTGTGATTACCTATCTTATTTCAATTGTTAGGGTTCGGTTAGCCTGACTACCCCTAAAGGGGTAGTGATTTTTGACACCCCCTTTATGATTGGCCAATTTTATTTCCAATCATTGGCATGTATTAATTAAACTGGTTTTTTTATTTTTTTTAATCTTGTAATTTGGGGTCTCTCACCACACTGGTAAAGAGAAAGAATCTGGGGAAAAACGAAATCACCCCCATTAATTACATAATTAATTTCTCTCACTGGTACATTAATTACACGTACCACTCCACTGGTACACGTACCACTCCACTGGTGCGAGCAATCCACAAGGTAGGTTAGAATGAGAACAATACCAGTGCAATGATATTTTTCATAACAATGATAAACAATAACGGAGCAACAATGCAGTACCACTTCAATGATACAAATACCACTCCACTGGTACACGTACCACTCCACTGGTACACGTACCACTCCATTGGTAGGTCAGAGGCGATCCCAGGATGGCGGCAGCTGGAGATAGGAGGATGGTGGTGGGGGAAGGCGCTGGAGGGGTTTGGTCGTTTCAGAGTAGAGGAGGGTTCTGGTTAAAATGAAATCAAAATGGAAAGAGGGCCCAAATGGAGAGAGAAGGAGACGAAAGGAAGAAAAAAAGGCAATTAATTGCACATTTGGGGGGAGCTTTTTTATGATTCCCCATATTCTTTCCTTTTCCAATGTGGGTGAGAGGCCCCAAATTACAAGATTAAAAAAAATAAAAAACCAGTTTAATTAATACTTGTCAATGATTGGAAATAAAATTGGCCAATCATAAAGGGGGTGTCGAAAATCACTACCCCTTTAGGGGTCGTTTGGATGAGGGAATGTGGTAGGATTGTAGTGCAGGATTTTAAAACAATCCCACACAATGAGGGATTTTAATCAAATAACACGTTTGGGAAACCTAAGAATTGTGATTATTAGGAATTTTAAAAACCTGCATATGTGGGATTGTGAAATAGCTGATGAGGGTCAGCTATTTTGAAATCCCTCATTTTTTATTTATTTATTCCAAACTTATCCTTCACCTACAACACACCCTCTTCGTTCTCTTCACCCATCCTCACCGCCGGTCAAACCTTGCCGCCGTCGCTCTCTCTCCCCGATTTCGTCCAATCTCGCCGTCGACCTCTCTCCTTGAAGTCTCCCAGGTCCACCGGAGCAGTTGGAAACTCGGAAATCGCTCAATCTCCCCGATGTTGCACAGGTCACGGTCGCGCACATATCGACCTCTGTTTCCTCCATTTCCAAAGATGATGTCGGCAAATGGCGAGGATGCCGATTTGAAAGGAAGAATCAATTGGTTATAATAACCTAACGCCAGCTTTCCGAATCAACCGTTAAATTTCGACCAAACAGCCATTCCAAAAGGAGGATGCTGTTTCTGTTTCCCTAGTTTTCTGAAAAAGGAGCCCACCCTTGGCGGCGGCGGAGGTGGGGGCGGGGGATCGGCCGGAGCATTCTGGCGGCGAATCAGGCCTTTGGATTCGTCTTCACCGGCGTCGCCGTGGTGGTCGAAGAGCTGGAAGAAGGTTCGTGGGTTGTCGGAGGGGCCGAGGTGGAAGAATTTGGTGCGGCGGTTTAATGGGCGGAAGCGGCAAGGGTACGAGAAATTCAATTACGACGCTACAAGCTACGCCCTTAATTTTGACGAAGGACCAGTGGCTAGCGGCGGCGATTACGACGAGGATATTACCGCAGCATCCCATCAATCTGGTGGGTTTTGTCAATTTTGGTGGTTCGATCGTCTGGTGGAGAAAGGAGAGCAACGTTGGCAGAGGAAGAGGAAGATGGGAAGAAGGACAATATTGTATTTTCAATTCTTATATTAAAATCCTAGGTTTACTTCCAAACAAGTTATTTCATTAAAATTCCTGATGTAGAAAACCTAGGTTTTTAAAACAAGAGATTTGAGCTCAAATCTCTCTTAAATCTCTCAAATTAAAATTCTGCATCCAAACCACCCCTTAGGGGTTAGCATAGTATCCGACCCCAATTGTTATTAACAACCCATTTCACCTCGGGGTCAATATGTCAATTTAATATCGTCATATATCGAACTCGGCGAGTTTTTATCTTTTTTCGGGTTTGGTTTGAGAAAACCAAAACGTTTCACATCTACCATTCTTATCTCCCGCGGGTTACACGGATCACTGTTAAACCGTTATTTGGGAAGAATACTATGATTATGTCCATTTATATTGACCATTACCGAGACTAAAAAAATCTATAAAGATACACCATTTATCTTCAAACTTGTAAGCCCACCAAGCAGACTATTGAAGGGGAATTTTTAGACAGCGAGCAATATTGACACAGTAAACAGTATGTCACAAATCGGGGTTACTTCAAGTACAATGGAATGACAACCGATGACCCTCAGTAGCAAAACTTCCAAGCAATGACAACAACTGTATACTACTAGTACCCAACCAACTGTACCAAGGCCCGGTTGAGTTTCTGGGGAGAGGAAGGGAGGGAAGACATTGTGCAGCCAACTAAGACATGTAATCCTGTGCATCTGACGAGTTTTCAGCTTGGGAGCCTGCTGTCTGTTCGCTCCCAGTCGTTCGCTTGCTCATGTTAGCTCGCTGCACTAAACGAACCAGTGCTTCCACTACTTCGGACATAGGTGGCCGGAATTCAGGCTCAGGCTGCCATAAATAAGAAGTATCAGCAAACATTTCAATCTGCGTGAATCAACACTCAAGCATGAAGCTAAAATCATAGGTACGACAATGGAACATTGGGCATAAACAAGATGGGGAAAGTAGAACATTTTTCAAGTCCTCAAATCTTGTCTCAACCAGTTACGTACCTGAACACAAAGAGCGATGACATCAGCAAACCGGGAGAGAGATTTAACAGGGTAAAGTCCATTTAGTGCTGGATCAACCATTTTAGACAATGCATCAATGTCATGCAGCTGTGGTGTCGCCCAACGGACCAGAGATTGCTCAGTTCTCGACCTTGAACTGCCAAAATTAGCATACGCGTGCAGAAGAAGATTATAATCTTCATAAATATAAAGCTCCTCTTGACACTTGCATCATCATCATGTTGATCATGGAATAAATAGCTTACCTGTCAAATGGTTTACGCCCAGTAAGAAGTTCCAGCATCACTACTCCAAAGCTATACACATCACTCTTAAGAGTATATTGGCCAGACATAGCGACCTCAGGTGCACTATAACCGGAACCTGCATTCTGGTTCAATGCCTGCACATCATGGCAGAAAGCCAGAAACTAATGATTTCAGGGCATGCAAGGATTATCAATCTACCTTCTATAAAGCTTTCACTTATACAATTGAGCTATTTTTCTTACTTTTTGTGGAATTTTACAATCAAAATTTAATGAAATAAGAACACAAACATGACCAAAGCAATGGAGGCTTAAATCATACTTACACACACTTGCTGCAGCAATCGGTGCAGATTAAGAAGCAACAGAAAATTTCACATAATGAACTACTAACAAGGGTTTATTGATGTCGGCCCAATTTTTTATTCCTAGTTTGAAGGCTGAGCAATTAATTGTCCAGGGAGTTTCTCCTGTTGGACCTTGTTATTTTATACATTATCAATCATCGTGTTGTATCCTAGCCCCTAGATATAAAGAGGATATCCAGATTTTAGCCCATTGTACAAGGTCTTCTAACTTTTATGCAGGAGAGATCAAAGATCTAAGCTCTTATGCTAGCAAGGCTGCACTACTCCTTAAACTAATCCTAGTAGTATGATTGCTTGGAACATCAATTTGGTATCCCTAACAAGTTAATAGGGCAACCTTTATTTAAAAGTAGTAGGTAGGGCTACCAGGCCATACACAGAAAACAAAGGATGGTGCATGAATAGCCACACTTTGAGGACTCAAATTACCTGATCTCCATTTGGCAGAAAGCTTGCCAAGCCAGAGTCTGAAAGGTGAGGGTTCAGCTCAGTGTCTAATAGTATGTTTGCTGACTTGATGTTTTTGTGAATTATAGATGGAGAGCATACTTCATGAAGATACCTGAAACAATGAGTACAATTTATGTGCATAGGAAATACAAACTCACAGATATATGGGCTAGCGTCGTCAGAATTATGAGATCGATCCTATATTTCACTACGGTCGTCGGGTAATCAGAGACTGTAAAAAGCATAAATTTTAACGATTCATGTTTAAAAAAATGTGGGTATTCAGACTAAGTTGCTTGGAACCCTTGATTTGAAAATGATGAAACTCTCAAAATAATTACCAGACAGTACATCGTTTTTCAACAGCACAACTGCCTGAAATACACGTTTCAAGTGTGATGAAGTATTTCACAAATGACATACTTGAAATCTTAGCTTTTAGCGGATATTTCAGTTGCAAGCTACATTATACTTTTCAGACGATGCATTTTCAGACCAACCATTTCCTACAATTTCCCTATTTCAAATACACTCCTCAAAGACCAAACTTTTTAAGAAACCTAAGTTCCAAAAATAACTGGGAATAAACGAACCCTAGAATAATTCTCACACAAGACAAGGAGAGTGCTGACGCAGTTCAAAGATTTCCTGGAAATGAACTGCGGTCTGGCTAGGTTCACAAGATCAAAAGGTAAATAAGATTTTCACCACTGGACAATTATTCATGCAGATGCAACTATTATTTAACATGGATAAAAAGTAAAAACATCAAAGAGTTTGAGATATCTTGTCCATATACTTGCTGCGAACTTACTCTAATGCACGAGCTGTCCCAAGTGCTATCTTGACTCGAGAATTCCATATCAAGGGCTTGCTGTATTCGTCTGATAGATGCAGCAAGTCATGTAGGGATCCTTGTCTATGGAACTCATAGACTAGCAGATGTTGTCCATGCTCAGAACAATAGCCCACTAACTCTGTCACATTCGTGTGATGCAAGTCAGAGATCTTTGAAACCACCTCCACAAAATCTTCAGACATTTCACTGGATAAAGCAGCTGTATCTATTTTCTTCACTGCAAGCACCTGATAGCAGTGTTCGAGAAGGCAGACAATAAGAACAGAGAAAGTTCTGATTGCATCTGAATAAAGAATAATGAGCATAAAGGACCGACTACACAAAAAATGAAAACCCGGTGGTAGACTAATCATCAGATACCCTGTTTGTACTGAGTGCATAATATTTCCATTTGAAGCTACAAGCCAAAAATGAAAGCAAAGGTAAGGAAGAACCAATCTGTACCTTCCCATCATCAAAATGAGCTCGATAAACACGCCCAAAAGACCCTTCACCAAGAAGATGCTCGATACTGAAGCTTCCAGTTGCCAATTGGAGGTCCGCTATTGAGTATGTTGTGACATTAACAGGAGCTGCAACACGTTTCTTGACAACATGCTTCTTGACAGATTCATCCTCATCAAATGATTTTGTGCGATCAATAGGTGGGGGCTTGAGAGTCATTGACGCTGGGACATCAAAAGTTTTAGTGTTGATTGAGGATGAACTGTGTACGGATTTCATTTCTGCAAATACAATTTAACATGTTTCAGTAACTGCATCTGCAGCATAAGGAAAGAAAACTTACATATCTTGCATCTTCTTGAAGGAAAATTCGGAACTAAACATCAAGTGGATTTTAACAAACTGAATACCAAAGGACTAGCACGTCCTCAATATCAGATCTGTCTCAAGGCTGCCAATGGCTTGACTAGCATTGCAGATGCCAAAATGACATGGCTATTGGCTAATTGCAGTTTATGTGCACAGGACTTCTTAATTCTCCTTATTTAAGGACTTGAAAATTTCAAAATTTCTCTAAGTGGAATTATTATCCCTTTGCAACTAGACCAATAACATTGCAGTTATATGGTAAATACTTCTAACTCCATAGTCAACCAGCAAAGCAAGCAATGGAGCACTCTAGTGTAAGAACACTTAAGCAAGGGAAATAAGAGCGAGAAGCAGACCGAACTTGCCTTCTACTTCATTGCCAGAAAGAGGAGCAAATGGTTCATTATCAAGCTTTTCAACATCTGATGATCTCCTGCTGGATCTTTTTCTCACAAAGAAGAAGGCAGCTATTGCACCAACGACCAAGATAGATATAATTATTCCAGCAATACCACCTCCCCCTATTCCTGATTTTTTGCTGCCACTATCATCAGCACTGCCAGCATTTGATGCACCACCATTGCCGCCAGGTTTATGGCCTGGAAGTTTGTGGACTGGAGGCGTCCCAGGTGGAGGAGGGGGTGCAGGTCCAGAGTTCCAATTGTTTCCGTCCTTTCTGTCACAAAGATCACTCATCTCAGTTTTTGGCATATTTCAACTAAGGCAATGTATGGAAATTGCAACAAATTTCAAGAACGTAAATTGCTTACATGATGTTAATGCTGCTCAACTGTTGTGGAACCCAGCCGGTGAAACGGTTGTTAGCAATATTCCTACAAAAAATAAGTCAAATGATGGGCCAGCTCTTAAGAAATATATGTTATCCATTCAATACCAGGAAGCAGGTGACTCACAGGGTTTGAAGAGGAAGGCTAGCAAGGACATCAATGGTGCCTGTGAATTGGTTGTTTTGTAGGTACCTGTCAAAGGGGGAAAAATGTCAGCCGCGGCTAAGGGTGCATCATATCAGAGCAAGAACATTTTTCATACTTACATATTTGTCATGCTTGGAAGGGAGCCAAAACTCTCAGGCAGATTCCCTGTTAGTTGGTTGGAAGATATATCCCTGTTCGAACCATAGACCAGTGAGTCACATGGGATTCTTTCTCTTCATTACAGAACCAGCACAAAATAACGGTCTCTTCAAACATAAAATTGACAGTGGTTCTTAGCAAAAAGTTTCAGATTCAGATTCAGATATATTGATGTTTGCATATAGTGACAATTTTCAAGCAAAACTACGAACAACCAATGAGAAACTAAAATAGTCAATCCTGCCAAGTCAGAAGATCTTACAATGTGGACAAGGAAGTAAGTGATCCAAACATATCTCCCAGTTGATTCTGAAGCTGATTATGAGCAAGGCTTCTAATAGTCCAAAAAAAGTAAGTGTTACAACAAGTATAAAGAATGGGGGAAAAGTGGTCATTCTGCAAATTATAACGAACAATATCTGATTACTCACAAGTACTTCAGAGAGGCCATCTGAGAAATGGAATATGGTATTCCTCCATTGAACTGATTATTAGCGAGATTCCTGCAAAATGGAAATTATGTGCATTTCCATGAGTGAGAAATGACATGAAGAGAGGCAAACAATCAAAATGAAGAGGCAACACAGGAGCTATACAATCTTTCCAGGTTTTGTGGCAATTGGTAAGGTATATTGCCTCCAAGATTATTGCTGCTCATGTCCCTGTCAACACCATGTTACAGTTAAAAAATTAGCTCCAAACGGGAGAAGAGGAAATAAGAAAGAGAATCCAAGTAGGGGAGAGAAAAGGGAAGATGGAGGGGGTCAAGAGGAAACATAACAGAACTGACAGCACATTGTTCTCACAGGGTTTTTAATGATTTTAAACTGTCAAGCTGGTACCCCATTGTCCCAGAGAGTCCAAGACCGGACAATTTTCTGGTGAAACACATTGAACACACACACGAAATGATCAGTTGCAAATGAAAAATTCTGACAGTATAATGCAACAACGATGAACTAGTGCAGTAGAAAATTACATTTCCGTGACTCGCGAGCCAGAACATGTAACGCCTTTCCAATTCTGGCCACAAGGATCATCACCATTTGCGCTCCACTGGGTCAGCTGACCTGGTGAGTTTAAGGAACTGTACATGACACTTAGAGCTGAAGCTGCAAGTTTGAACAATCAATTAGTAGAGGTATAACTGTTCAGGAAATGATTTTGTTGTGATACAATTAATCTGCTCCCTATTTCACTATACAAAGAGTGAAGCAGAATCCTGACAGTAACAATGCATACTCAATCTTCCTAGTTGGGGCTCTTTCTTGATTATACAATCACTAAAGCAATTGAAACTCTGTATCTTAAATTAGCATCTGGTGAGGTACAAAGTTAACAATCCAGGCAAGATCAATACCTAAGGGTAAGCGAAATAAGAAAACGTTGAATATCTGGACAATGAAACTTTACTAGCTTCAAACACGGGCCATCTGGAAATGTTTGGCTGTCGATGAGGGATGGTGGCTCCATCAGGAAGAAAGCAATATCAGCATCATCCAGTAACTCATGACATACAAACAATTTCCTTCACATACTTTCTCAAAATTGCAAAAACCTACTGACTAATAGGAACATTTCCTTCAATAATCTCTTACTCAGAGCACTGCCTTAATCAGTTCCCACTTTCCTCATCACATCTGGGGAGCCATTAAACGTTGGCATGTACAATTTCTTACAAATAAACATACAAGTACCAGTGAGTAGCCCCATTTGACGAGGCCTTTTCCTGAAAAGAATCTAGTTGTTGCAAAAATTGTGAGAGCAATTCTATTCCGAATTCACCGCAATTATCCCAACTGCCATTCCCTTGAATACTGCATGAAACTCCCTAGTTCTAAACTCGTTGGTCTGAGACTCTAAGCTTGCATCATTAGCTAGCTCTTTCACCGTTCCAACTAAATGATCCATAACAGCTTGCTTAAGAACAGTGGGGCCACGGATGGTAAAAATCATATCTTTAGGGTTCATAAGCATGCCTTGCTATGAGGTAGACATGAAAGTTACTGGCTTAGTAGATAAATGTCGATATATCGGTATCCTCTGTCAATGTCTGTCAAAAGAAGTTATTTGGGATTCACAATCCCAGGGTGCTAATGCTGATAAGAAGTGAGCTAGCTAGTTTTGACATCAGAGTAGATAACCGACTCCCAGCAATCCCAGACAATAGAGATTAGTTCCAGTGGTTTGCGTTCTCCTCTTCAAGTAGGTAATGAACTGGAAAAGGAGGTGCTTTATCTCATTTGGTCCCATCCTACCTAGCTAGAGCTGTGAACTAATTTCCACAGAGCAGCACGAACACCGACGAGAATGTTTGGTTCCAAAGCAAGCAAGACTGTAGTTAGTCCAAAGCCAAAGCAAAGGCAGTGATTCAATGGAGAAGCATAGAAATGGAAGAGAAAGAAGACAAGTCCAGATAAAAGGAAAGGGAAGATCCAACCAACACATTTGAAGGAAGAACTTTATCACCATATGAAGAAACAAAAAGTACCCAAAGAAAAATGAAGCAAGGTTGAGATAAGATGGAGGTGGAGAGAGAGAGAGGGAGAGAGAGAGAGAGAGAGGAAAGAGAATAATACCATCGGTTGGATCTGTGGCAGCAGAGATGCAACCCAGAATGCAGAAGAATATCAGCACTGTAAACAACATAATCAGCTCAACCCTTCTCCTCCTCCGCCTCTCCATCATCATTTCCACAGCCCCGACTCCAAGCTTCTTCCTTTCTCCTCCTACCCACAAGCTAAAAAGAACAGGGCTTCCCTGCCCAACTTCTAGCCTTCACTTTATATTTTCCCCTTTTTTAGACAAATGAATTTAAGAATAATACATAAAATATAATGTATTAATGTGTGCCCTCCGTATGTAAATTAGAACAGAACAGAACAGAACAGAACAGAACCCCCACCTCACCTCGCCGCACCCATCTGAATGATAGGACTTTATATTTTCCTTAAAGAAGGGATATGAATATGATAGATGAAAGGACTCCAATGATTTTTTTAATCGAATTTCGCTTTCTAGAGTGGCGAGCTGTTCTTCATTCCACGATGCTACCCTCTCAGCATCAAACGAAACCGAGTAGTGGAAGCTGGCAGGCACGATTAGCTTAAAGAATCCAAAGCTGCTGATTGAAATTAGAAATGGAATAGTCGCCAATCTCATTCTTCTTTTTTTATTTTATGAATATTCCATATTATTTTTAACATCCAACAAAAAGGTAGATACTTGTTGCTGATTTTATTTTACAAGTAAAGTGGAAATTCCATTTTTGTCGCTAGATTTGCGTGTAATTTAGCCATACATACAATCTGATACAACCTGTCTTTATTGACCAAAATGAATGGCTTTTGTTTGTCGGATTTGCTGTTGAGCTTCTTTTCAGCGTTTTCCTTGCAAGTTATTCGAGGAACTATTTGTAACCAGTAGAGTACAAAATGCTAACCCAACAGCATATTACGAAAAGAAGCTGTCGGGGTATTAGATAGGAACTTGTTTTCCCATCTAGCATCAAATCTCCTTGGCATCTTTGTAACCTAAAAGTGACGGATTTAATTATATACTAGATAATTGGCCCGCGCTCCACCGCGGATATCCTTTCGTATTGTAAGATGAACATGTTCTTAGTTTGGAGCAATGCAGTTAAAAGCGCGATTCTACCTAGAAGCGGAAAAGGAGTAAAATCGTAAAGCGTAGAATCAAAACGTAAAAGCGTAAGTTTTTGACGCATACTGGAAAATAACTAAAAATCTGTTGAGTACGTTATATACTATGTAAAATATGAGTGCACAAAATTTGGATCAGTTAATAAATACTTGTAATTCACGTCTAAAGTAGAGCAACTCATAGTAATTAGTATCTTAACAATAAGTTCATAAACATATATCTTAACAATAAGCCACCTTCCTGTCCATGTTAATAAATTTGGGAAAGGCCTAGCTAGTGAATTAGATTACTCTACTAAGGTTGAGAATGCATCCAAGTACCTAATATGTATCTTTTAATATAAAATCTATCATATTGTTGGTGTTTTACCTTTACAATATACTTTTTATAATTAATTTCATGAAAAGAATATTCATTTAGTGAACTAAAAACGTAAAAGCGTAAAGCGTTTTGGTGAAATAGAAGCGTAAAAGCGTAAGATTTTAAGCTTTAAAACGCAATTTAGTTCGATTTTATGCACTTAAGATTTTACATGGAAACGAAAGCGTTTTAGTGACCTAGAAGCGTAAAACCGTAAGATTTTAAGTTTTATAGCGCGATTTTGACTGCATTGGTTTGGAGGCACACTACAATGGGTATATCATGATGCGGGTCAAAATACAATTTGTTAATACTTTGTAGTAGCTAATGTTTCGTTATTTCTTATTCGTAACACATTGAATGTAAAGCTCATTAGTTACTAAACCTTCTAAATTCATAGTATGACGAAAGTAGTATCAGAGACTCCATAAAGTTATTCTAACCAATATTGTAAACTATGAAAGTAGTAAAAGTAAAATAAAAATTATACAGAGAAAATAAGTTATACTTAGTGAACATGACATTTAGGAATTGATTTGTTTACGTGAAAACTTAACAATGGCGTATGTGTTCTCTTAAGTTAGGTAACTTGAACTGTTATTGATGCTTGTAATTTCTTCCATTTAAACTCGTTTTATTACCTTAATGAAGAGTCTGGAAGATTTTCTTTGTAATGCAAGTTAGGTTCTAAATTGGTCGTGGTCAACAACATCCATGTTCTCTGCATTAGAAAAAATTGTTTTAGTTAGGGAATAATTTAGGCGAGGAAAATGATATTGTTACTTTTCGTAATACGTGACGGTAAAACATTAATTTTGTCTGATTCAGTTGGGTCATCGGCATCAACAAACGTTTCTTCATAAACAATATTTCTAGTATAGTTTTGTGGAACTTCTCCATCGTTTTCAATCAGTATGTGCAGACCGTCCGCTGATCAAACTTGGGAAAATGCTACATATAGTTATTCGTGACTGAAGATCGGCTTAGGCAAGTAAACTTCGACTATATCAATTTCCCGATATTGCATAAATTATTACTTAGCTCGTACAAAGTACCAATAGCTCAACATATGTTTCAAGGTTTATAGGCAGTACCTGGAAACACAAAGATAATTTTAGTGCAATAGCAATAAAGTCATTTTGAGTTTAGGTAAAAATAGTGCATCATGATAGTATCTCCTTAGTGGAGTAATCATGGGATGACTAATCCATCAGGAAGAAGAACCTACTTCGATCACTTCTAACAGTCCATCCAACTGGAGAGATACATCACCTGGAAGGACATGATTGGAGCATGGACGATGGAAGAGGGAACCTGAAATTAAACTCAACATGTACCAAATCGAACAGAAAGAAAGCAATCAATTTCACAATTCATTAGCTTGTGATACCCCCAAGACATTCAATAGATAAAGGGGGAGAAAGAAAGAACCGGGTGAAGATGGATACCAAAGGAGAGATAAATGAAATTGCAGACCAACATAAGTTTATTCTTGTAATGAAAAGGATAAAACAATCCTAACTATACCTCTTTGCAGAGGAAAAAGGATACAAACCAAGAGCTAAAAATGGAGTTAATTTGCAACTGAACTCAGTATTGTACCCCTTGAGCAACTTGAAGTTCTAGTTCAGGAAACACTAATTGATGAACTATGTAACCTACAAAATTCTTTAAGTTGATTATATAGGCTGGACCTTAGTGCATTAGATAAAGGAGCAAAACATCAATGTCATAAGAAGGAATAGAAGTTTGTGCGTCTTTGAAGGCTTTGAGCATATCATAAACTCATGATCAAATACACAATAATTTAAAATCCAGACATCTTCTCTACAGCCAGTTACAAACAAAATCAACTACCTCTGAATCTCTGATGCAATAGACGATGAACTATAAACAAAATCAACTACCTTCAATGCAATAGATGATGAATATAATTAAATGATCAGTTCCATGTTATAAAATGATTAAAAGATGCTGACTTGACCCAACCATCAATTGAAAGAGCAATGTATGAAGCAACAGGAGAATCAAAGTTTGTGTAAAACATGAGGCCTTGGTTACAGGAAATGGAACGCAACAGAATACCGAATAGTTGATAACAATGATTAAACGGATTGGTTCCATTCAGTTGATGAATTCGAACGAATTAATGGGCTTTTGTCGATTACCTGAAATTGGGAGGCTTCCGCCAGAAAGATCCAACGTCCATCCTTGTTGGCTGACTACTGTAGAGTCCATCTTTCTTAATCTCTAGGAGGCAGAGGGGAGGAAGGAATTCATGGTTTCGGCATGAGACATAATTTTGGTTGTTTGACTACTGCTGAGTTCATCTTTCTTCATCTCAAGAGGCAGAGGGCAGGAAGGAATTGAGACGTCAAATCTCAAATCAAAACCCTCGTCTGAGTCGATGAAGGAATTGAAGATTCACCAAACCCTATCCTCGCACACTCTCTGTTATCTCAAAGAGGTAGCGGGGAAGAAGGAAGGGACGGGTTAGAGTGTAGTCGGAGGTCAATCGATTGAAATCGAACGACGGTGTTGAGGCGGAGGTGAGCCACAACTCAAATCGAAAAAAATTCACCAAACTCTTCCTCGCACACTTTATCAGCGTCGCCAAGTAGGATTCCGGCTTCCATGCACACTCTCCATTATCGGTGCCTGCGACTCTGCGAGTCGGATCCCCAAGTTAAGCCTTCTCCACTTTCACCCTTTCCTCGCTCACTCTAGGTTATCGGCGACGGCAAGTAGGATCACGACTTCTATGCATCTCGGCTTCCATAGCAACCGATCGTCGTGGGAGATCGGTGAAATACGGGGGACGGGGAGAAGATGAATCGACGCAGGGAGGAAAAGATTCCACGGTCGAGATCAAAACCAAGCATGTATACGGACAATGATCCGTGTAGTCTACAGGAAGCTTACGGTAGGCATGCCCACTCCCCACTGGACCCCTTATACCAATTATGCGCTATTTATTTCTTAATTAGAGTGATAGAAAGTATTTATAGAATTCTTCTCTTAATCATAAATAGAAAATCAAACATTTTTTTCAAATTTAAAAAAAAATAAAAACAAAGTTCAAACATAAAACCAAACAAACTAGGTCTAAAATAAATTAAAAAAATAAAGAACAAATCCAGAATAAAAAATTCAAGACATATACTAACAAACTTCCACATTGACTTGAATTTTCTCTCAAATATCAGATGTACCGGATGCAATCAGTATTTCCAAATGTACTTAAATGCGATCTATATCGCCCGATGTACCCAAATGCGATCCAAATTGCCAGATGTATCCAGACCGACGCGATCAAAATCGCCAGACTCAACCGCTTGAATAATAGACGCATATTAAAACTTATAGATTTTCAAGGTGCAGAAGGTATATTTTTGAACAATTGACAAACTCTTTCTAGCACAACAACTTTACTATTGGGACACACATTCAATTCAAGTCCTACTAAAATATATTGCTACCCTAATTTTTTTTTTCATTATATAAAAAAATAATATACTGCTGCTGGCTATGGGACTCTCTCCAAACACTCTTTGTGAAGGGTTGCCTCCCTCTTCCTTGGCTTTCAAGCGATGCATGTGACCAATATTATCAAATTCCTTAATTCTCCAAATTCTAACTCAAAAGGCGGAGCCTTTTTGCTTCATGTAGGTTCCCAGAAGATAAGGATTGAAGGAGCCCGAAAACGGTAGCTAGGCAACAAATGCTGGCTAGCGATGAAGAACAGAACGAAACCGCTAATCCCAATCCACATATAGCTAGCGGTTGATTCATGACGCAAACGATGACTGCAGCGTGGAATAAGCAAGCCATCTATCTCTGCGGATATAACAAATTAAAGGAACTGTTCGTTGGGCACAATCATGATTATATTAGATATCCCTTGCAAGGAAACCCCACACCCATATCGATCTGTGTATATATATCAGCACAAATTTGATTGTTAGTTACTGTTTATAGCAGCTGATAATGGCTGGAAATAGTAGTAGCATGAGCGTGGAAGATGATGATGCTCTGTTACTACAGAGCAGGAGGAGACGGTATTTGATAGTGAGGCCAGAGAAGGGAGGAATATGGGACTTGCTCGGCTCCGCGCTGTGGGGCGGGGAGGCCTGCAAGTTCTTGGAGACGAATGATCATATTGATCATCAGGTGGAGGTGCTGGATGATGCTGCTGATCGCGACGAAGTTTACAGAACAGCATCATCATGGGTGATATTGGTGTCTGTAATCGCTCGCAAGATCATTTCAACTGTTGGGAAGCCCATGGAGTACACTGGATACGCCCTTGATTTCTTCCTCAATTTACTCTCCCTCAATGGCGGCCTCTCTGGCTTACTCCTCAACTTCCTCCTCGGTAAAATCCCATATCTTCAATCCTCTTAAGCTTTTTTGTGCAGAATCTGGAATATGGAGATTACATTATATGTTTGCATTTGCAGGTAAGGTGGTAGTACCTGAGAGGGGTAGTGCGACGTTTATATCCACCATCGGACATTTGGATGGAAGAATCGACCTTTACAATAAGGGCAGCCCTGCCCCTGATGACCATGATCAACTAGTACAGTTGCTTGGCGGTCAAGACAGCTCTGGTGAGCCGAATCGAGCTCTGATGGACCTCTGTGTTATGGCCTCCAAGCTGGCTTATGAAAACGCCAAGGTCGTTCAAACCGTTGTCAGTCACCACTGGAAGGTACGAATGCGTAAGAATCGAAACTTGAATCCTGAATAATACTAACCAGCGGATTAATGTCACGTACTGATCTTCTGGTAAAAATGCAGATGCATTTTGTGGACTTCTTCAACTGCTGGAATGGTGAGTTACGTTGGTTAGTTAATTAGCAAAGCTCTAAACTAATAACTCGATTGATTTCGTGGACGTGGTTGATATAAGTGCGTAGTATGGTTTAATATGTAGATTTCCAGAAGCAAATGTCGACACAAGTGTTCATACTCTGCGACAAGCCCAGAGACGCCAAGTTGATACTGATCAGCTTCAGGGGAACGGAGCCTTTCGATGCTGACGACTGGTGTACAGACTTCGACTACTCGTGGTATGAGATCCCGAAGCTGGGGAAGGTACACATGGGTTTCATAGAAGCCATGGGATTGGGAAACAGGAATGACATCCAAACCTTGGACCATCACCTGCAATTGGGAGGACGATTTACTACTAATCATGATCAAGGTAAGGGCGATTGGCAGAAGAGTGCATATTACCTGGTGAAGAAAAAGCTCAAGCGCTTGCTGGCAGAGAACAAAGACGCAAAATTTGTGGTGACTGGCCACAGCTTAGGCGCGGCACTTGCCATACTGTTCCCAACCGTGCTGCTGTTGCACCAGGAGGTACTGGGATGGATTAAATCAGACCTGATTTCTGTTGATAGATATGTATTATGATCAAAGTCTCGTCGTAGCTAGCTGATAATGTTGTGTTGGAGTGCAGGATGAGCTGATGAAAAGGTTGCTGGGAGTATACACGTTTGGACAGCCGAGGATTGGGAACGCGCAGCTAGGGAAGTTCATGGCAGCTCATCTCGAACATCCTTCGCACAAGTACTTCAGGGTTGTCTACTGCAACGACTTGGTCCCCAGGCTGCCTTACGACGACAAAACCTTCCTGTACAAGCATTTTGGATACTGCCTCTACTATGACAGCTTCTACATTGAGCAAGTACGTAAGTTGTTGTTCATGGACGTCCCTAATAGCTCTGGCATAGATTGATCAAGAGACATTTTATGAATACAAGATGATGTAAGCGATATGGGTATATCATCATATTATTATGTACAGGAAATGCAGGAGGAGCCGAACAAGAATTTCTTCAGTTTAAGGAATGCAGTGGCGGTACACCAGAATGCTGTTTGGGAGCTGCTGAGGAGTTTGACAATTGGATACACCAATGGTCCAGAATACAGGGAAGGCTGGCTGTCTATGTGCCTAAGGGTCGTCGGAGTGGCACTTCCTGGCATTTCTGCGCATTCTCCCATCAACTACGTCAACTCCGTCAGGCTAGGAACAACTACACAGCATGCATGCTTATATTAATGCACTGTCCTTCACTTGCTGCTACATTACGCAAACCAATCGAGCTGCAGCACTGCATCTCAATTCGTCGTGTTACGCTGCTTCAGTCGGTTCAAGGAAGTCCGAAGAGTGTTCCTCTCTTCTTACTTCTTATGATCCCCCTTTTTAATAAGAGACTACATCTTCATACATTGCGATGGAATAAAGAGAGAATCAGGATTCGATACATTATGCTATACGTACTATACTACTTGGATTACTTGGCTGTAATAATATTTCAGTTACCCTTCATTGTATTATTACTCCCATTGCATGCGTTACACAAAAAAGCAAGCCCCAGACTCGAGATTCTGCAAACTTGGCATCACTTTTATTGAAACCTGGGTTCTCTGAGTGAAAAATAAACGACACAAAAATCTACCAACTCGCACCTTTCCAACAAAGTCTCATGACTGGCAACGCATGCAACTTCAAATACTGTGAGATCCTTGCATGCCCTTCAGGTCCAACTTTTTAAGCGTCGCTACTGACTCTACGTGCCCTTTCCAGTTATGAAGCTCCCCCAGTCTGACAGTCAAAAACGGGGTTGCACCTTAGTGGTGGTAATGTATTTTATTTTTGCATTTGGTTTTGTCAGAATTGATATTGTTGCGGTCTCGGGCACATTATCATTAAAAAAAAAGGTACTAATCTATAGTATGCAAGAAATGATAATCGTAATTCATGAGGTACCTGGCCATTTCGGCACGCCTCCATGCCTGCTCAGCCATCGAAGAAGATCGCCTAACAACTAGTTCTGGATCTGCAGAGCTCAACCCCTCTAGAGTCGTGTGGGAAAGATGCCACTTTCCTGCTCTCTCATCCTTCCTGTAGTACTCTTTCTTTGAAGTTAAAGCAGCCTGTTCGTGGTTTGAAGCCACGAAGCTGTTAACAAAGGATTGACAAAATCTTCCAGTAAAATCAATCACTAAAAACTATTGCACTCGCCTTTTTATCGAATACAAGATTCCATGCATCTCCACTCAGGATATAACGCACAGTGAGCTTTATGATATCCAGGGGAACATAGAAGATCAAGCAATAAAGCCAAACCACTCCAGCCCATTTCCATCCGATACCACTAATGTTGGCAAAGCTGAGATGCACGTAGACAGCAATTAATGTGGCTACCTGAAAAGAAACAAACAAGATCCAGCAGCATTTACATTCTGGGTGGACTTGCGGTGAACTCGAGCAAGGAATTGGCGATGATCATAACTGAAAGGACTAAAGTTTGGAGCCAAAGGCGAATGTATCGCAGATCTAATGTAAGATATGTCTCGGAAAAAATTTGCAACTCTCAAGGAAGGCCAACAAAGACAAAGCCATATTGCAGTTAAAGTACCATACCAGTTGAGCCACTAGAAATGCGCACACCAGGAGAATTCCAGGCCTCTCAAGGAATGACCAATATCGACTCCGGGTAACAAATATGAGAGCCTGGCTAATGATGCTGACTTGCAAATACAGTGCCGAAGAAACTTTTTCCGTATTACTGGATATAGAACTTACATGGAAGTGTGTCTGCAATCACAAGTCAAGAGTATAATCAGCTGCCTAGAGAGCAACAAGGTGTAATTTCTTAAGAAACTCTAACGGTTACAGGTTTGTACAGTACAATTGTATGTCTCTGAATGATACCTCGAAAAAAGAAGTGTGTACCACAATCCAGTAGAACAGTACAGTCGCCAGAGCAAGGTATGTCCCAATGACAATGCCTGTTGCAAATATTTCATTGAGCTTCCAACTATCAGGCCCTGGAGATGGCTTAACCCGATCTTTGGATATGGTCATTATAGTTCCTGAAATAAAAGAAATAATATTTGACTGATTAGGGACTTCATTGGCATTCTGCACCAAAAATAACTTCAAACCTTTATGGACCTTCATGCTACAACAAATAATTTGACATAGAATCCTTAATATATTGCACTTGTCATTCTACAGCTTGGTACCGCTAAAGCTAGGAAATAGCTCCTTCCTCTGTTCCACAGCCCAAGCAATTTATAAAATGCAGAAAAGATAACAAAACAACCAAATGTAAAATAAACTAAAAGGAGGAATAATTCTTCAGTTACCATCATTAAGTATTGCTATTATCAAAACCATGAAAGGTGGGAAGTCGTACTCCCATATCAATGCTAAAAGTGAAAAGCCAACCTGAAATAAACGCCAACAAATTGTTTAACAACCTTTTGGTCCAGATTCCAGACCATACAAGTGAATCCAATGAGAATAGAGGTACAAGATCCAGCATACCACAATTCTGATAGTGATGGAGACAGCATATATCTGCAAATTCATTGTTCAATTAATCATTAGAGAAAGTAAACTACACAGATACTCAGCTACACCACATATCCTTTCATTTTCAACCAAACTGTAAGCACCTTTAATGTCATTAAAAAAGTTACTTAGCATGGGAATAAACCAGGAGCATCATGAATCTGGAACTACCACTAACAGCTTCATCAGTGTCACCTAAATGCGAATGTAACTGTGTTATACACGTGTATAGAAAAATAAGAAGGAAAGTTACCGTATAATTTTTCATCCTTTGGAATACAGCCCTGCTAGTTAAGACAGCACTAATGATCACACTTAACCCAGCCTCAGTTAGGACTATATCAGCAGCACTTCTGGCTGCATCTGTAGAACCTGCAACTGCTATTCCAATGTCTGCCTTCTTTAAAGCAGGTGCATCATTCACCCCATCCCCAGTCATGCCAACCACATGCTTCTTCTCTTGCAGAATCTTTACAATCTCGAACTTGTGTTCTGAAAGTCATATTGCAGCAAAAGGAATCATGTCAAAGAAGCCAATCTAAGAGAAGCACAAAAGCATTCATCTATGCACAAACCTTTGGCTTTCACCAAGCACCAAACGCCTGGCTGGGTCCAGATTGCACACCCTACAACGATACCACGGCCCAACCAATAGTACACCCTACAACGATACTATGGCCCAAGATTGTTGGCAAAGCAACTACTTGGTGTTACTGCCAAAGTGAATTTTAGACATTTTACTGTTTATAATACAGCAGAATGTCGCTAGTCCAAGAACTAATCCCAATCAGAATCAAGAGGATAGAAACTACAGCTGCTTGGTGTGGATTTCAAGTATATCCAGCAAAGCAAGTAATCAGTCTGTTCTTTGAAGATCTGAAAACAAATTGAATTCTACTCAGATGACACACAGAAGAATTCTACTCAGACAAACATAAAATGCAAAGAAAAATTCAAAATCAAGCTTCCCGTGCCGTTGAACATAAAAACATCTCTATCATCTCCACATTACTCTAACCTCAAACTTAAAACCAGCAAATAGGGGAGGGAAAACAAAAGGTCCCTTGTCAGGTGGACTGTTATCCGAAATCCATCTCCTGGTAGGTTTCCCAATACTCCTTGATTTGCTGAACTGTTTTGGTGATGGACTGTTCTGATGGGTGATTCTACGAGCACTAGTTGATAGATTGTACAATCCATGGGAAGAGGGTAGTGTGTGTAGAACCACCACAAGAATCGTCTATCATATCATTGATATATTGAAAAATCAAAGGGTACCCTCAAATACGGGACAGAAGTCACAAAACTCAAGCGCTTTCTCCTCGGTTTTGTCATTCTCAAGAACCAAAGCCGCCCTAAGACACTAAACCCTCTAACAACTAAACAAGCAAATAACTATTTCAAAGTGAATTTGGTTACATCCAGAATTAATACATAGGCCTGCTACAGATGTTCATCTCTTAAAAGCATTCATCCAGAGTATAGATTCTTGTATGTTGTATCTATCCATTTCAACAACCTACCATCCACATAACCTGTATATTCAAATGTTAATGATAGTTACAGTTCACTGGTACCATATCCTATTTACTTACCAGGGAACACACCAGCAAAGCCATCTGCCTTCTCAATTAGCTCATCCACGAGAAGAATCTCAGTTCCATCCTTGTCATGGCTCAACAATGATGAAGCTGGGAACATGTTAGTTCCCATTCCGAGTCGTCTTCCTGTCTCCTTGGCAATTGCTAACTGATCACCTATGAGCTATTCAATTATTAGTATATTTTATTAAGACTCCATCGGAGTCAATCACAAGGTTGTGGTAAGAGGCAAGAGACGATATATATGTTTGTGGGGGGGGGGGGGGGGGGGGGGGAATCAAATGATGGGTCTCACTGTTTCAGCTGAGATGACAACTGTGCCATGGCAGTGTATGTAAGCTTGTGCTTGTACGGAAAGAATGATGCCAAAGAACAAGAACCATTGACTTCTTCCGTTACATTTTGATGAACGCAGGTGGAATTTTCATAAGCACAATTAATAGAACAGGAAAGAAGAGCAATTATAGATGTCTAGCACAATTCCAATACACATACAGCTACCACTATAAGTTTAACCAGAGTTACCTGTAATCATCTTCACACAAACTCCAAGGTTAAGTGCTCTTCGTACAGTGTCAGCACTGTCATGTCTTGGAGGATCAAACAAAGGTAACAAACCACAAAAAATCCAAGGACCGCCAGTGCTCTCTTTCGTTCTTCCTGGAACTTCCTGAAGGTGTGTTGATATACTGAGAAATTCTTTCATAACAATAATAAAAAAAAAAGATATTCCATGTAATTCAAGCTTGATGAGTTACAGGTGAAGGACAACACAAGTGAATTTTATTTTTCCTTCAGCAGAATATTTCAAGACGAGTGCTGGGAAGGTAACAGTTTTTTATGTTATGATTCCATCAAACATGTGTCAATGTGGGCATAGAAAGATATGATAATCAAAATTTGAGGTACCTGATAAGCGACTCCAAGAGACCGGAAGCCCCTCTCAGCAAAATTGTCAATGATGGAATGCACTCTTCTGGCAATCTCATTCTTTCCTTGGCATAGATTTAAAATCTGATGTCGTACAAAAATGGAAGACTAAGTACGCAGCTTTTGCTCAATATTAGAATGCTTGAATGATTTTGATGCCAAAGGTCATAATTATTATATCAACATGCACGACAGAGATAGAGAGGAAAATATCAAAGCTTAAAAAAGCACCTGCTCAGGAGCCCCTTTGCTTGCTCGATACCATTTTCCATCGGAGTCAATATACGTGATGGCAGTACGTTTATCCACTGGATTGAAGGGCATGAAGTGAATTTCCCTGATGTTGGCACGTGCCTGGACAAAAAAGTGAATAAAGCTACAATGATGAAACGAGTAGAACAAACATCATTTTGGAGTACTTTAGTGTCCTGGCCAGCCAACCAAATAGTATAGCACATTTTTTTTACCTCCTTGGGATCTCCTAGCGTGTTAA